AAGTGATGGGCGGAAGGATCAAGAACTCGCTCAAGCCCGGCCAGCTAGTTTTAACAAAACCATCAAGTCAGCAAAATACGAACTGAAAAAGATGCCCGTCGGCAATTCATAAAGTCTTACTCAGGGATCTTCTTCTGCCTTTAGAGTGCTCCATTTATGAGAAAACCTTACAGGCCACCCAACAACCAGTTCTGTAAGGCTGACTCTGCTAACAACCACCTCTGAACTGGCTTCCACCCAAACTAAACTCAGCATGGTGGTTACAGCCTTGTCTTCAACCCTGGAGACAAGGATGAACAGATTAACAGAGTGGGAAGGGACCTTGTAGGTCATCTAGTCCAACCCCCTGCTCAAGTAGGAGACCCTGCACCATTTCTGACAGATGGCAGTCCAGTCTCTTCTTGAAAGCCTCCAGTGATGAAGCTCCCACAACTTCTGAAGGCAACTTCTGTTCCGTGGGTTGATTGTTCTCAACGTCAGAAAATGTCTCCTTATTTTCAGGTTGAATCTCTCCTTGTTCAGTTTCCATCCATTGTTCCTTGTCTGGCCTTCAAGTGATTTAGAAAATAGCTTGACCCCCTTTTCCTCTTTGTGGCAGCTCCTCAAATATTGGAAGACTGCTATCCTGTCTCCCCTGGTCCTTCTCTTCCCTAGACTAGCCAGGCCCAGTTCCTGCAACTGTTCATCGTATGTTTTAGCCTCCAGTCCCCTCATCATCCTGGTTGCTCTTCTCTGCACTCTTTCTAGAGTCTCTTCCAGGAGACATGGATGAGCCAAGGTGTTTTCTCTCAACAAACAACCAAGGAACCTCAGGTGTGAAGCTAAGTCTCTGCAGATTGATGTAGACCAGAAATAACCTGAGATCCAACACCAAGGGTTCAACGTTGCTGCATCCACGCCACCTTCATCTCCCTTGCACCTTGGCAGAAGATTCTAGGTATGGTCAATGCCCAAGCGTAGACCGACTCCCTTTCAAAAATCCACTGACACATCCATGCACTTTCAAGGATCTCTCCAAGGTCCAGAAATTAGATGGTGCCCAGCACCCAACAGCCGGAGAAGAACCCCAGGAGAAAAACCTCTCTTTCCACCAATCCCCTCTGTGGGCCTTCCCAAAAGACACCCTCTTCTTAACTCTTGCAACCACCCAGAGGTGGTTTTGCAACCTTCAGGGGTGAGGCCCAAGCACCAGGGTGTGGGGGAACATTTGCGTCATACATCTGCATTTTGCATAAACCACCAGCTAAGCCTCTGGGTCTGCCCTAGCATTTTACGGTAGACAGACACAATTCCAGTTGTACTGTTAAAATAATAATAATAATTCAGCTCTGCTTTGGGAGGGATATTAAACCAACCTTTTGCCTTGGAGAAATAAAGCAATAACTGGAATTAAAAAAAGAAAGCTACCCAATGAGTTGGAACAAATAAAAAGGTTTTTTTTTTTCTTCAGTTCTTAGCCCAGTCTTCCTGGACTGGAGGTTTTGGGTGGTTGTTTAGAAGCGCTCAACCAGTTCTGTTCCATTTGCCCCGAATAACCATAACACCACCCCCCTGAAACATCTCCCATACAAAGAATTGGGCCAGCTGTTTGCAAAATTACCACCTCTGGAAATCAGAACGCAATTTGTTGGCACTTACCCAGAAGGCATCTTTAAACTGCAGGTGCGTCATCCTTGGATCTGTAGGGCGAAGCTGTGTGAAAGAGGCACCCGGCTGCTCTGTGTGTGTGTGTATGTGTTGTGCGTGCATGCACACGCTCCTCTGGAACTCGGCTGGTCAAGGGATGGTTTAATGAAGCTGAGCAGGGCCACTCGCTACTGAAAGTGGAAAAGCACACCCCCAAACCTCAAAGCTCTCCCTTCCTCTTGCCCCACCTCTCCGGGGCTGATGTCAAACTCCTTTCGCTTTGGGCCGAGAAGTGTGCCTCTCACCAAGTGTGTGGAAAGCACAGACGTTGTCGCCATCCGCTGGGTGGAAACAAGACACTTCCTTCCAACCGGTTAACGCTCCAGAAGGCAAAAGGGAGGCAACTGGGATGGCAGGTGGAGGAACTGTCCAGGGAGAGACTCCTTAAGGGTTGGATGTGCCTTGCGGACCGCAGAAAGCAGCACGGCAGGTGTGTAAGGGGTGTGTGTGTGTGCTGGAAACCTTTTGCATTTTTTTTTTTTGCATTTGCATCTACGGGAAAGAGGCGCAGAAGGGGAGTGTGACCAGCTCAGCGTTGGTGCAAGAGCAAAACGTTTCACACCTCCGTCGAGCGAAGGAAATGCACCGAGGATGAAGCCTTCAGGCTGTGTGTTGCTCAAGTTGTGTCTGTGCCACACAATTGGTATCGCTTTGCAACAAGGGTGAATAGGCGCACGGCTCCCTTGAATTTCGGCTCATGCGTTGGTCTAAAAAGCGCTTTATCCTCTGCCGGGTCTCTCAAAGAGGCAGAAAAGGTGGTTTGGGTAAGAGAACGAACTATGAAAGTAAAATAGTTGCATTTCCTCTGTGGCAGGAAGTACAGGGGGAGTTCCAAAGTTAGTTGCTAGCAGACGTAAAGAGATTCATCTTCATAATGACTCGGGGGCGGGTGGGGGGTCCTTACTGTGCCAGGAAATTGAGTGCCACCCACTGCGGTCTCCATTCGCGCTGCCCCCAGGGGTCGATATTTTCATGCCGTAGATTCAAACCCCCAAAATACGGATTATTTGGAGCAACCGAGAGTCTTCTGGACAAGGTTTCTAGCAGGCCCTTGACTTGCGACCGCTTCAAGTTATGACAGCATACGTAGGAAGGATTTAAGGGTTGCCAAGGGCCTGAATTCGGACGATACGACCGTGGGGACGCTATGGCCGTTGTAAGCGGGAGGACCAACGGTTGCAAGTCCCTTTTTCCAGGGCTGTTGGGACTTGGAATGCTAAGTTGGAATGATTGCTAAGCCGAGGAAACCGTGCAGCGAGAGAATAAGGGATGGAGACCATTTTTTAAGAAAAATGCAGCGTTGAGGACAAAATAAGGCCGGCATCAAGGGGGAAAAGATCCCAAATTTCCTTGAGACAGGGTAGGCTATTGGAGATGTGGACTGCCCATCACGTCCTTAAGGTCACTCGCTTACATAGCAAAGATGGACGGTGTATAAATGTGGACTAATAAATATATTTTATGGCTTTTGATCCTAGCCAAAGATGCTAAAGACCTTCACAGAACGAGGAAAAGAGTTAAAGGAGTCCAGGTTCTCTTCCCGAAGCTGGTAAAAGCCATCAAGGCATCAAGGCTGGATTTGCGTCGTCGGACAAGCGCAGGCAGTCCTCGGCTTACGACCACAATTGAGCCTGAAAATTTCCGTTGAGACAGTTGTTAAGTGAGTTTTGCCCCCCACCCCGTTTTACGACCTTTCCTGCCACCGTTGTTAAGCGAATCGTTGCAGTGGTTAGGTCAGCAACTCGGTTGTTAAGCAAATCCGGTTCCCCCATTCGACTCGGGCTGAAGGTCGGGAGGTCGCCAAAGGGGATCGGCGGGGCATTGCAACCCGTCTATGCGAGTGTCTGAATTTTGGATGGCGTGGCCTGTGGGGGGGACGCTGCAACGGTCGCTAAGTGTGAAAAAAAGGGTCGCAAGTCACCTTTTTCACGTTATCCTCGACCTAAATGAACCGTTGTTGTAAGTCGAGAGCTACCTGTAAAACATTTCAAATGTAAAACTCTTTTTTTAAATTAAAAAAAAAGGCAGAAGGGGGAAACTTTCAATTGCACCTGCCAGGAAAGAAAGAAAGAAAAGGAAAGGGAAGGAAAAGGCAGGGGCTTTTTTAGAGGGAGAAATCGATGTTTGGCCAGCCGGACCTTTGGAACTCGGCTGCCTTGGGGGGATTCCAGGCAAAATCAATGGCTCTATTCAGCCATGATCCAAGAAGGGGGGAGGTGAGGGGGGGGTGGCTTTTCTGCCAGCGTCCCCTGGAATGAGGAACTGGGCTGGGGGGGGCGGTTGTTCCTCCCCCCACACTACAGCTGTATGCAAATGAAAGCTGGAAGGGTTTGTTCAAGCCAACCACCCCATGAAAAGCGTTTCTTTTAGTAAGAATTTGCTTGCCAATTACTGGTACCTTTAAACTATGAAAAAGTAAAAAAAAAAAAAAACTGCAGGAAGGGAAATGGGGGGAGAGAGAAGTGGGGACGGGAGCAGGGCAGGGCAGGAAGGAAGGAAGGAAAGAAAGGAGAGAGGAAGGGAGGGAGGAAGGAAGGAAAGAAAGGAGAGAGGGAGGGAGGGAGGAAAGAGAAGGGAAGGGAAGGAAGGAAGGAAGGAAGGGAAGGAAGGGAGGGAGGGAGGGGAAGGAAGGAACGAAAGAGAAGGAAGAAAGAAGGAAGGAAAGAAGGAAAGAAAAGGAAGGAAGGAAAGAGAAGGAAGGAAGGAAAGGGAAGGAAGGAAAGAAGAGAAGAGAAGGAAGGAAGGAAAGAGAAGGAAGGAAGGAAGGAAGGAAGGAAGGAAGGAAGGAAGGAAGGAAAGAAAGAAAAGGAAGGAAAGAAAGAAGAAAGGAAAGAGAAGGAAGGAAAGAGAAGGAAGGAAGAAGAAAGAAGGAAAGAAAGAAGGAAGGAAAGAAGGAAATAGAAGAAAGGAGAAGGAAGAGAAGGAAGGAAGGAAAGAGAAGGAAAGAAGGAACTGTTCAATTTTCAGGATTTCAATCCATCAATCAGAATAGAGCTGGAAGGGACCTTGGAGATCATCTAGTCTAACCTCCTGCTCAAACAGGAGACCCCACACCATTTCAGAGGCTGTCCAGTCTCTTCTTAAAAACCTCCATTGGAGCACCCACGACTTCTGGTGGTAAGCTGTTCCAGCGGTTAATTGTCTTCCCTGTTAGGACGTTTCTCCTGAATTCCAGTTTGCTTCCCTGCTTGGTGAATTTCCACCCAGGGCTTCTTCCCCTTTGTACATCCTGTCTGAATCAGCCTTCCGTTTAAGAAGCCGAGTGTAAGGCGGTTTTAAGAGATTCAGATGAAGGAAGAGCACAAAAACGGGAGTGGGGTGGAAGATTTGAACGTTTTAATCCAAGTAAATAGAATACTTTCCAAATGCGGAAATACTTCCCTTATTGTCTACCATCCAACAAGTGAATATGCACAGAAACCTGGGATTTAACACTTCATCCTCCCGAATTTTGTAATATACAAAATAGGATAGAAAAACTATGAACAACACGGAACCAGACAGCTACCCTTGCATTTCCCCTTTCCTACAAGAATAAAAATCTAACCGAATCTAGGGCTACTTTGCAGTCGAATACCTGGTATTTTCAAGTATGTTTCAAAAAGCAGTATTGAAATCTGAGCACTGAAGATCCCCACTCTGGTTCTTCTTCTTCTTCTTCTTCATTTTTTAAATTAGACCACCAAAGTAACACTGGCAACCTACAGGGCATGTTAGCAACGTAAAATTGTTGCCTAACTGGTATTATTATTCTTATTATCATTTTTAAAGCTGAACAACAGAGGGGAGGAAAATCTCAATTTGGAAAGGAAGGCAAAATATCATTTGGAAATTAAAGCTCTTCGTGGTAGAAACTTTTGTCGTGGAGTTGTCGGCCGTAATCGGTGGCTTCGCTGTTGAGGAAGAGGTCTTGATTTTCAAGGATTTCGTTGGTGGAAAGTCTCCGGTCTCCGTCCAAGTCCATCTCGTCAAGAAGGTGAACAGCCTAGAAAATAAATTTAACAATTGGGTTGAATATGGAACTTGGCCGTATTAACTTAGACCAGGGGTCTCCAAGACTTGTAGACTTCAACTCCCAGAGTTCCTCAGCCAGCAAATAATAGAATAGAATAGAATAGAATAGAATAGAATAGAATAGAATAGAATAGAATAGAAT